TTTCCCATCTCTCAGTAAATTTACAACATCTTTTTTTTCTGTTTTAAGATTATAGCTTTTTAGCACTTCTGGGAAACGTTACATAACCGAAGTGAAAAAAAAATCTTCAAAGATATTATTATATATATTTGTTTACAATATGATGTACAATAACCTTGTTGCATAATGAAATCTCACAGAACTAACAAAAATTACACAAAAACAGATATAAACTGAAGTTCACATGGAATTTTTTATGATGTAAATGGAAGTGTGTGCTGAAAATTCAACTTGTAGTTAAACAAGATATTATTATGAAAGTATTGACAACAATAAAACATCTGACATAGTGTGTGTATGTATATATATATATATATATATATATATATATATATATATATATATATATATATATATATATGGTTGGATTGATGTGAGTTTGTGACCCTGGGTTTCACGCTTTTGCAATTGTCAGACAAACTGTTAGCTCTACCTCTGATATTGAGTGCTTTCTAATAAGTACCATATATATATATATATATATATATATATATATATATATATATAGAATAATATCAAAATCCGCAGCTCAGAGTTTCATGGATTAGCGGATTTTTGATATTATTGATTTATAATGCAATTGTAATATATCACATTTAAGCTCAGCAAACTTTGGCATTGAGCCTTGTGTTTTTTTTTATACTTTAAGATTTTAGCTTATATATATATGTAATATACTTGTGTGTGTGTGTGTGTGTGTGTGTGTGTGCATATATATACATATATATATATATATATATACACATATATGTGGTACAAGGCCGAAATTAAGGGATACCCAGTGAGGATCAAACTCACTACTCGGTCGTAATTCTTCTAGCAAAACAAGTTTGCTAACTTGTAGGGCAAGGTGGTGTAATGGTCAGCAAACTTGTTTCGCTAGAACAATTAAGACTGAGTAGTGAGTTTGTTCCTCACTGGGTACCCCTTAATTTCGGCCTTGTGCCACATCTTAGCTACGCTTGGAAAATCACTATATATATATATGTATATATAAAAACATGTTTTTATTCACTTAGGACAACCTCAAATAATTTTATTCCATTTATTTATTAAGCCATTCATGATTTTGAATTCTATGATTTTCAGTTTCTCTTCCATACATAGATTGCAATATCAGTACGATGCCATATTTCTTTTGAAAAGCATAAGAAAAAGAAGATCTTGGGAGTGTCCAAAATAAACACCCAGCTCCTTCAAAAAATTGCTATGCATGAAACAGGCTTTAAAATGGGTAACTAAATTTATTTTATATGTGTTTTAAAAATCTCTTTTAAATATATTTAAAATTGAGCTCTCCATATCTATAAGGAAAGTAATATACAAATTATATATATATAATATCATCCTCATACAAGCCCGTTTCACTGTATCACAGCTCATCAGTGCAGCTAGACATCCGATTGCTTCAAGCCAGGATTGAAACCCGCCCAATTTGGCATCAATCGAAGTTTCTGCTCCTGAGCTAACAGCGCATGCCATATATATATATATATATATATATATATTCAGTCAGTCATGAACTATAACAATTATATATTCCAAAATTTCAGTTATACTTGGAGATTAATTATTCATTCTTATTGTTCAAAGTAGAGTCCAGTTGTGTTCTAAAAACTCTGGAGAATTCTAGTAAGACATCATTAATCATTTCTAAGATACAAAAGTTCAAAGCTTAATCTAGCAAATGGACACTTTTTGCTTTTACACTTGGTATTATATATATATATATATATATATATATATATATATATATATAAAGTAAACCTTGTATTAACTCCACAACTGAATTTATACAAATTCTTCATGCTGTAAAAGCAAACAACCAAATAATCGCATCTTTGGATGTACAAAATTTATTTGCTAATGTCCCCATTCATGAAATGATTGACTTCATTATCCATGATGTATACAATTATATTATGTTTTAATATATATATATATATATATATACACACACACACTATACTATAATAATATTAACACAATAATATCAAAACGGTAATCAAAGTCTGCTACTTAGTTCCATGCTGCAACACAATTGCTGCCATATATGGTCTGGCGCCCCTTCTGTTTGCCTCGGGGTTCTTGATAGGCTCCAGAACCGGATATGCAATATGGTTGGCCCTGCCCTGGCGTCTCGTCTACAGTCACTTTCTCACAGACGCACCGTCGCCTCCCTCTGTCTGTTCTACAAATACTTTCATGGAAATTGCTCCGAGGAACTGCATTTGCTGGTTCCCAAACTTCATGAGTTCAAGCGCCCTATGAGGCTGGCATCCCGCTCTCACCCCTTCACTGTCAAAACTCCTAAATGTAGCCGTCTCTTCTACTCTAATAGCTTCATGTCTCGCACCTCTCGCCTGTGGAACTCTCTTCCCTTCTCCTGTTTACCTGAGAGTTATAATCTCCAGCTATTCAAGTGTAATGTCAATCGACATCTCCAGTTGCCTTAATCTATCTACTACCCTCATCCTTTCTTCTATCACTCCTATCTGATCTTCCTATTTTCTGTAACCCCTTGCGTCCTAGTGGCTTCCCGCCTTGCTTGGGGTGAAATGCTTAAAAAAAAAAAAAAAAATCATCAGGTAGATAGTGTTTGAAAACACTAACTTTGGCATATCTCTGCTATTGAGCACTTTCCAATAAGTCCCATTCAATATAATATATAAATAATATGTATATATATTGAAATATATATATATATATATATATATATATATATATATATTTTAATTCATTGAGTCTAGAAGAAACCTCAACAGAATACAGAAAGCACTGGACAGCCGTTTCGTCCTATATTTGGGACTTGTCAGAAGTGCGCATCCACTACCAAGAACTGAAACCCTGACAGTTACATCGACAGGCAAATGTAATACCAACTGTACTAACAGGCCTTGGTGACGAAGAGGTAGCGAACTAGATTCGATATTGCGCTGCTCATTCACAAATTCCGTGATGGAACTCTTACTGAGTTCCTTTTACCCATAGGATTGTGCCCCCCTAGAGCCACGACTATTATCCCCAAGCTGCTCCATCCAGAGCATTAGAAGCTGGTTCAAGCAAGGATATACAAATGATAGAAATTAAGGAGGATTTGAGATAATTAAGTAAATCATCGTGTCGAGAAGAAACCTCAACAGAATACAGAAAGCACTGGATGGCCGTCCTATATTTGGGACTCAACAGCAGTGCGCATCCACTACGAAGAATTGAAACCCGGACAGTTATATATATATATATATATATATATATATATATATATATATATATATATATATATATATATATATATACACATTTTTATATATATATATATATATATATATATATCTAAAGTGGTGTAATGCATAACATTTTCTTTGTTCCCAGAAGAGTCTACAACATATAGAGGGGCAAATTGCCTATCTGTATATTGGACTCTTCTGATGATGCTGTAGAAACAGAATTTTTTCCTTTATTTGAAACTTTACAAATATAGCACCAGAATCTATTTATATCTTTAATTCTTTTCAGCTAAAAAATAAATGGACGGAATTTTTGTAATATTGTATTTAAATAATATGATGAACTTGAGTATTGCAGTTGTTTTTTCATGTCATATTTCACCTGATACTTATTTATCTGTCTTTCTGATATGATGCATTATTTAAAAATTCAACTTTGATCTCTCCCTTTGAATTTTGGTTGATTGTCTCATCTTGAATGTAGGTCATAATATTCACATTTTCTCAGTTTATACTTTTCTAGGAAAGTTAACCTCCACCTTAAGTTTATCCACTCCTATAACAAATAATTCCATTATCCAACCTTCTTTTTGTTTGCTTTTTTTCCTTTTCTTCTTTTCTGTCTGTCACTTTCTTTTCCTATCGTTGCTTATTATTACGTTCATGATTATGAAATACAAAAAGGCTTAAGAAAAGATGGAAAAATGGGAGTTAAATGAAATAACATTTCAATGAAATAGTTTTGCTATTTTCATTTCCACCAAAAACCAAAAAGCTGGAACAATGAGTTGGTGGGGAGGGGAAAAAATTTCAAAAATGGAATTTGAACAAAATAAATCTGGTGGAAATGTTTGTGCCGATGACAGATTTTAAATGTACAGGAAATAGACTAAAACCAAAAAAAAAAAAAAAAATTGATTTAAAGAAAATGAGAAAATCAGGTAAATAAATAAAATACTTATTGTTCTCAGTAATTCCCTATCTATTTACTTATCGAGGAAACTTATTAATTATTTTCTGGGAAATGTGAAAGTGAAGTATTTTTCTTATGAAGAAAATAATTATTTTTGGAAAGACCTATTATCACTGTCAGCATGAACCACCATCAGCATTAATAATGTAATTACTGATGCTAAATTTCATGCAAAATTCTATGAAAGGATATATGTTCTTTTTTTTGTTTTCTTTTCAGGTTTGTTTGTTTTTTTAACCTTTTCATTCAGATTTTTCACCTTTTGTTCTCTTTTTCCTTTTCATCACAGATCTTTTATCTTTTCTCTTTGTTGCTTCATCTCTGTTTCTTTCTTCACTTTATTGTCTTCTTTCATTCTGCTATTATTTTCCTTTCTTTCTCTTCTCTGCTTTTAAGTTTAACCTTTCTCTGTCATTTTATTCTCATTTACCATGTTTTTTCTCTTCTCTTTCATCTTCATTACAACTCTTTTTTTTCATTCATCCTCATTGTCTTTCCTCTTCTATACTTCACTTTCTCCTCCTCTTACATTTTCACCTTCTTTCTATATTGCCTTTCTTTCTTTCTTTCTTTCTTGGCATTTATTCCCCTATTTTTAATTTATTTTTCCTTCTCTCTTTCTATTCCTTAATTTTTATTCTCTAATTTTTCTTTGATCTACAATTTTATTCAACTTTACCTTCATCATTAGAATTCACATACATGCTTGTTTGAAGTGTCTGATTCTCTGATATTTGCTGTTAGTATTCAGTTTTTAAGATATGAAGGTAATGTAACAATTATTAGTGTAGAAAGTGAAATCAGAGGGCTGAGTTCAATTTCTTGTCTATTCCGTTGCTTTCACCTTCATTGGGAAAGGTATGAATTCACTATTTTTCCCACCAGCTATGGGTTAAAGTGCAAGGTAGACTAGACTCACTAGCTTTGGGTGGTAACCTGTCTAAGAAAAGGAAAATCCTGAATTCTGAAATTTAGGAGAAAGTAGCAAAAATGATTCAACTATTTTTCCTAAGAATGTATAGCAGTTCACAGATAAAAAATAAAATAAAAAGGGATCTGTGAAAGTCCACGATGGCCTACATCCTGAAGGGACATAGCATTTAATGGGAAAAAAATATCAGTTTTTATGGGTTAGCCCTGAAGTCTAAGGAGTGTTAGGTCATGGAATGAGTTTATTATCTAAGAAAGCTAAACTGATAATAAAACTTGAAACCTGTTCTTGTTTGAAGCTCTGAAATTTTGTTCAGCCTATTATTTGATTCTCTTTCCTTTTCATCAGAGTTCTTTTCCCTTTTTTATTTATTACTTCATCCTATTCTTTTTCTTTACTTCCTCTTCCACTTAAATTCTATTATTTTACTTCCATTTTTTTTTTCCTTTCTTTCTTTGATTATTTTTCTACCATTTTATCCTCATTTATTTTTTTTCTTTTCTCTTTCTTCTTCACAAACTTTCCATCATTCTTCCCTTTTGATTTGACACTTAATCTCTTTCTCTTTCATTTTCTCCTCTTCTTATATTCTTCTATTTTTTTTCTCTTTTGCTTGGAATTTTTTTATATCATTTACATCATTTTATCCTTTTTTTCTCCTCTCTTTCTTCTTCACAAGTTTTTATCATTTTCCCCTCTTAATCTTTTTCCTCTTCCTTCACTTTCTCCTGCTTTTATATTCTTTTATTGTTTTCTTTTCTTTTTCTTTATTTCTTTCTTTTTTACTTTGACTTGTTTACATCATTTTATCCTTTTTTCTTTTCTCTTTCTTTTTCACAGTCTTTTTTTTGCTTTCTTCACTTCCTCCTTCTCTTATATGTTTTATCATTTTCCTTCCTTCTTTCTTTCTTTCTTTATTTATTTATTTATTTATTTATTTATTTTCCCTCCTTTGGCACTTAATCTATTTGTTTTCATTCACTTTCTACCCCTCCTCAATTATTTTATTCATTTTTTTCTTTTTTCATTTTTTTTCTTTCTTTCTTTTTTGCTTTAATCTTTTTCCATCATTTTATTCTCTTCTCTTTTATCTTCACAATTTCCTACTCATTTTCTTTTTTCATACTTAATTGCTTTCTTAATCTTCACTTTCTTCCTTTTTACATTTTTATTATTTTTCTTTTTTCTTTTTCTTTTTTGTTTCTTTTTCATTCTTTTTCCATTTTCTTTTTTCTTTCATTCTTTTTCATTTTTTATCTTTCATTCTTTTTCATTTTTTCTTTGTTCATTCTCTTTGATTTTTTCTTTTTTCATTCTTTTTCATTTTTTCTTTTTTCATTCTTTTCATTTTTCTTTCTTTTTCCTTTTTCTTTCGTTTTTTCTTTCTTTTTCATTCTTTTTTCTTTTTCTTTCTTTTTCATTCTTCTTTCTTTTTCTTTCTTTTTCATTCTTCTTTCTTTTTCTTTCTTTTTCATTCTTTTTTCTTTTTCTTTCTTTTTCTTTCTTTTTTCTTTTTCTTTCTTTTTCTTTCTTTTTTCCTTTCTTGCTTTTTTCTTTCTTTTTCCTTTCTTTTCATTGTTTTTCATTTTTTATCTTTTCAGCCTTTTTCATTTTTCTTTTTCTTTTTTTTCATTCTTTTTCTTATTTCATTCTTTTTCTTTTTCCTTCATTTTTCATTCTTTTTCCTTTTTCTTTTTAATTTTTCCTTTTTCTTTTTAATTTTTCCTTTTTCATTCCTTTTCCTTTTTGATTTTTCTTTCTTTTTTATTCTTTTCCTTTTTCTTTTTTCATTCTTTTTTCATTTTTTCTTTTTTAGCTATGATTTTTTCAATCATTGTATCCATTTTTTCCTCTTCCCTTTTTCAAAATTTATTTTTTATTCATCTTCCTTTTTAATATTTAGTTCCATTCTTTTTATTCACTTTCTCCTCCTTTCAATTTCTTGCATTCTTTTTCCTTTTCCCTCTCTTTCTTTATCCTCTTGTTTTTGTTTTAATCTTTTTTTTGTTTACTATTTTTCTCTTATTTCCTTCCTTTTCTAACTTCTCTTTCTTCTTCAAAATAATTATTTTTCATCATCTTTTTTTCTTAAACTCCTTTATTTTTTTACTTTCTCCTCCTCTCACCTTCTAATGTTCAATCTGTTTTTTTTTATTCTTTCTCTCACTTCATAGTTTTGTTTTTTTATGATCTATTTTTGTTTCTATTCCTTTTCTACAATTTTTCTCTCATTTTGCTCTTTTCTTAATCCTTCCTGTTTTTCTTCTTTCTCTTTTTCTCCTCTACTCTTCCTCCCTTCATATTATTCTACTCTCCCTTGATGTTCCTCTCTTTATTTTTAGTGGCCCTCCATTTTAGCTTTTGAGGGGTTTTTTCCCTACCATTATCTTCCTTTTTCCATCAACACATTTTTGCATCTTTTTTCCCTTACTCTTAAACATTTGTTTTTGTTTTCATTTTCTTCTCATTTAACATAACTTCTTTTTCTTTTCTATTAGCTTTTCATCTTATTTTTCATTTTTTTCTCGATATTTTTTTTTTAATACCAAAACCCTCAACATCAGTGCATTTTCTCTCACAATTTCTTCTTTCTTTTTTTTCTCTTAAAAATCTGTCATCTTTTCTTTTTTCTATTTTCCCTATACTTCCTTCTCCTTATCAGAATTTCTCTTATTCTTCTTCCTTTCTTTTTCTCATATTTTCTCATGACCCCCATCTTTCGTAAGACCTTACTTCTTCTCAAAATTTACCTTCATTTGCTTCCTTTCTATATTAACAACACTTTCATATGCCTGAAGTGTTGTTCATGACAACATTTTTTTTTTTCATGCATTCTTTCTTCATCTTTTTAATTACTGATGCCCTTCCTAACACCAATTGGCTTTGTATCCTAGGAAACCAGGTGTCATTTTTATTTGCACTTTTTATTTTCTATTTTTTATTGCAATACCTTTATTAGACTAAAAGCAGAAAATTTTCACCTGCTCATCGAAGGAAAAAAAAAGGCAAAAAAAAAATACTTTTAAGAAATTCATTATTCTCTCACAGAAGAATATATAACCAATCTCTAAGAAGCAGCTGCTGTGCCGCATTTTGGAAATATGCAAGTTCTTTAACTTATATTTTTGACAGTGCATTTTATTAGTGCCAGATGAGATGGGCTTCCTTATTACAACTCTGTATACCCAGCTTAGCATCTCTGTACAATGATAGAAGGTTGGAGTTGCTTTTCAGGTTTCTTTTTCTGTTACAGAAGAAGGAGAATTATTTCAAAAAGATCTTCAGTTTAAAAATATGTTATAATGCTTTAAAAATGCAGCAATATTTGATTATTCTATCCTTCTGAAATCTCTGATAGCCTCAGAATTAATAGGGGATTAAAAAAAAACGATTGATTAAAAACGTTATTTGGGACATAACTTGTTAGAAGAAAATCTCTTTCTGGTTGATGCTGACAAATGAAATGTAGGATATTTAATAAGGTTTGGGTGAAGCATCTTTAATTTTATTAGCAATAGTCCTCTTCTTTAACATGCTATGTTCTTTCAGAAATAAGCAATCATAGCTCTCCACAGCTTTCCATCTTGCATTACTCAAAGTAATTTTTGCTCTTTTACCACCAGTCTTTGTCCTTTAAATCCTTGTGATGCAACCCATTTATTCATTAAGCATGTTTCTCTACTGTTTCCCTTGCATTCAATATGCATTGTGAGTGTTAAATTCTCCAAGCTTTCTTTCCTCATTATTTTTGTTCTCCTTGTTCTGTAGCTTTCAGTCATATCATGTTGAAACCCCAGTTCTCTTACAATCACTGAAGTTAAGCAATGTTGAGCCTGGTCAGTACCTAGATGAGTGACTGTTTGGAAATACCAGGTGCTGTAAGCTTGGATGTGCAGGTAGTGTCATGGTTAATGTTTTAAAATTGGAAGTCCGTTCCAATTTTAGTTGGGTTTGTTATATTCACTTCCGTGCAAATACCTATGGGAAATATATGAATCCTCTTAACCACCTCCCAATAATGGTTTAACTAGCTGGACTTGTATCAGTAAATCATTATCTCAAAAAAAAATCTTACAATCTAAAATTATTTTCTGGCTTTAAATAACTTGCAAAAGGTTGATAAACTATAAAAAAAAATCCTTGTTCAGCCATCCATTTACTTAGGCTCATTAAGTTGCTGTTTCCCTTGATACTTTTGCTTTCAATATGTTCTGTAAATGTTAAATTCTCAAAGACTTAACTATTTTTGTTCTACTTGTTCAGCCATCCATTGACTCAAAGAACCAGATCTTTGTTGCTTAAAGTCTTCATCATTTCTGAGAAGATTGTCCAGCATTCATTGCCATTTTGTGCTGTTTTGTTTATTTCTAGGGGTATTTTCTTATCTCTTTGTACTTTGCTCAGTTTCTGAAAAGGTTGTTTTCAGATTCCTGTATTCCATTTTCCACCATCTATTACTAGCAGTAATAATAATAGTAATAATTACTAATGGTTGGTCATTAACAGTCAGTAATCTGGCACTAATGATAGCAATTTCAGATTTCCTAGGTCAATGCACAGTCCTGCCACTAGTATTTGATAACACCACCTATTGCATCAGCTGTTTTTGAGCTCTTTCAAACACTGGTAAAACATTCCTGTCTTTTGTACATTTTTATTATAATCTGCCAATGTTTAGCATCATTTATGGCTACAATGAATGTAGCAATTGCTTCTCATGGTGTAAAGTACAATCACTACATTTTGCCCATAAAAAATAAGGTAGAATTATTTAAAAGACTTTCTTCACCAATATGTACTAATTCATATGGTATTTTAAAGATAGGATGAAGTGGTTAGTTTCTGAGTTAAATGTATTCTAAATTAACCATCAGTATTCTGGAAGAATAATCTATTCCATACCCGACAGATCTCACTGGTGCAGGATTAGTGAAGATCTACCAGAAGTTTATTTCATAATTTTACAGCTTTGATGAAAAAGAAAATGGTGAGCCTCCACCTTGGTAATTTTTATACAGATATATAAAATCCCCAAGTTCTTTCTGGTATTATTACCCTAACAAATTTTAAATAATGTGCTACAGAATAAGTGTTTTATGACTAAAATCTTTAGCAACATTATCAGTCTAGTATGTGAATCTTGAATGGATTGCAACTCCAGCCAACTTGAGACCAGAAACAATTCACAGAATTACTATTCCTTATGGAAACTTCTGAAAGCATAAATTGCTCTTTACATCTGCACTTTGCTTCACAAGATTCTTTCTGGATATCTTCCCTGAATTCATAGCCCATTCAGGAAGTACATTAACGCTGATGCCAAGAGTTCTATTTATAGTAACAGGATTGGCTGAAGTTCAAAACTGTACCACAGCAGAAACAACAAGCCAACTGTACATTTCATTCACAATTCTAATATCCACATTTACAATCAATCAACACAAACAATATTGGTCAATATTTATAGTTTCAGTACTGCAGATTTTATAAGCATTTAAAGATGGTTGTGGACATACAATGCAAGAGATCTAGATATCTATTGCTTAGTTAATACAAGCAATATCTCAGAGTAGATCAATAATTCTGTAACCCAAGATGCAGATATTAACTGAATTTTGATCTGAAATTTTCATTGGATACTATTTGATCTATGTGATTAATATTCACTACTAAATTAAGTGCATTGACAAAGAAGATTATGTTCAAAAATAAATATTTGCTATGTATAAATAAATGTTTTTTTTGTTCAGTAGGCTACAGATGTATTGTTGTACCTAACAACCAAAATATTTTTGTACCAAAATAGCTATCATAACTTCTTTTACTGATAATTTTGATTGTAATTCATATTACAGACTTGTTATTTTTTTGTTAAATGACTTTCTATTAGTTCTAGAAGGACGTGTAGATCATGTAGTGGAAAGTTGAACCAGCAAACAAAACTTAAACTTTTGGCTATTCTGTTGCATTCATTTTCACAACAACCTCCCCAGCAAGAACTTCAACCACAAGGTAGACTGGGCTCCCTAGCCTGGGCTGTTAACTAGTCTAAGGGAA